GGAGACGAGACAGACTTCGGAGCATTTTTTTATTCTTCGCGACAAGTGTCCGATTCAACTCCGGACCTTGTCGACGAGCTCGGTCGTTGAGACGCAAGTTTGCTCGCTTGCAGGGTTCAGCGGGGAGCTTTTGTTTTCAGTACTACTGACATCTAGATACGACAGCCAACAAGAAATAGGGACCCCGGCGCGGCGTGCAACTGAAGTCACCGCTCTTCTTGTTCACCGTCGGAACAAATGATACATGGAACAGCTGCGGCGTGTCGCCCACAAAGAAAGCGGTGGAGACTCTCGACCCAAAGGAATCACTCTGAATTCATGTGGGACGACATGTTCGAAGTGAGGTCGAAAAAACAGACACGTCTTCGGTCAGGGATTCGCGCATCCCGGATGGCACGATCCCAATCATTGCCGTCCGTGTCAATCGGCATGAACAATATTTATGCTTACACTCACTCACTTTGTGCGCTCGTCTGGATGGATGGTCGGTTGGTCGGTCATTCGCCCCGTGGCTCGGTTCGTGTGCCCGTCTCCCGCCTGGATCTGCGGTCCAACCAATAACAATCTTCTCTTCGGACATTCGGGAGGCTTGTAGCGTTCGGTCGCTCCTCCACTACGCCCACCAGAGCAAAGCGACGTTTTGGCATATTACTTGGCACCCTCAGTTACCCGCAGAACCCTATCCGGCTCGTCTATTCGAACATATGCCAGTGGAGGAGACAGGCTGAAACCCTTCAATATATCAAGGCCGCCGCACAAAGTGATTTTGCTGTGGGCCGTTTTGAAGTTGAACTCGTTCCCCTCCAACATCTCCAGAACAGTCTCGGTATCCAAAGCCATGGCAATCAATCCGCGTTGAGACTACGCTCCGTGCTCGGTCATCGCTCTGTACTTAGAAGTTTTTAGGGCTCACGGCATCCGGGCCAGATCTCGACCTCAATGTTCTGGCAAGCCCACGATAGCGTCCCCGGCTGAAAGGGTCAGCCCTTGCGTTCCGGGATACGTCAGAGTCAGAGGCTATCGAGGATTTCTTGCCGCGACGCGCAGAGAATTCGCTTTTTCCGTGGCGGTCGTGGACCAGCGACCCATGACTCTGTTCCAATCGAACGTGGAATCTGCTCAGTCTCTAAGTTATCAAACGTCATTGCAGGATTCAGACTGCATCCGGGTGCTTGCCAAACGGTATCAATCATGCTCAGACATCGTTCGACCCCAATATCATGCGCAAGCCTGTCAACACCTTTCCCCAACGGAACGTAGCGATCGGAGCCGAGCGAAGTGCGGCGCTACCGGGTAGATACAAGCCGCATCCGAGCGAAGTTGAACATCTTATCAAGTCCGCTAAGGATCTCTACAATGAACAGGTACGATCCGTAAGGTTTTCTCGAGTCAGTTCCCCCTACCGAACCAGTTTATCGACACATCGAAGGAGGATTAGGATACGCTATCTATTCTGTTCAGCTGTGGCCAGTAGCGTATATAAGGGGGCGAGAGGGCCATGCCGCCTTTCATGGAGCTCCATGGGGATCATAATCATAATTCCCCCCTTCTGCAACATATTGCTGCCCCCCCCCCTCAAAAAAATCCTCTATACCTACACCGGACTGTAACTCGTATCGTTCATCTCTGCATTCATTATTATCGTTGCTCCGTCCAACCCATGAGCACAGGTATTTTCAGAGTTGCGATATGAGAGGAAGTTCGTCTCCGCGCGAAAGTGCCAGAATTCAATTTTTTATCGACATTAGCGTTATTCCGGCGATACTATGAAGGTTACATTTTCTGGCACATTTCGAGGAGCGGACAAAACAGATGAGGGAGGACGTGTCCTTACATCGCTACTCTACGTATTATGAGGAAGAAATGACTAGAGAGGACAAATTAGCGTTCTGCACCTCCTAGAAGCAATGAACTGTCCTCTGACGGTACCTGTACGTTGCTTCACAATATCACAGACCTGAGCCACCTCCGAGGTGCGACGCTCCTCCTGATGTTCCCATCGCAAGGTGTCGCCAAAATTAATTTTGTTGCCACTACGGCATCATTAGCCGGGCTACTCCTTGGAGTTCGGGAGTCATTACACCGCAATCACGTCAAGAAAGATGATCAGAATTAATTGACGTCGTTCTTTTGGAACTGCCCGTCTCACCGTCTCCGTATACATACTTTGGAGAACAAGGACCAGTACCCAGGCAAGCCGGTCGATACGACGTTTTTTCTGAAATCTCAGAAAACAGCTGATTGTTACTCAGAGAAGGATCAACAAGCGCCCTGCGCTCTCCAGTGAGACCGCTTCCAGAAAATACGGTGCAGAATTCTGTGTTTGCAAATCATAATTTGTGGTCTTTAACGTTGATTCCTCCTCTGGCAGCTTTGTCCTTGGGATACAAAGAGAAAGTAAGACGGATGAAGTGTCACATTCAGCCGCGCATATACCGCTGGGAGCAGAGAGTGACTCTCATCGTTCCTTCCGTTTTCCCCTCACGCCCGGCAACAATTTCTGGAGTTTTACTTTCACCTGAGCAAAACATCGCTTTTCCTAGTCGAACCTCGATGAGAATATCTCGAGGACCCTCCGTTGCAGACATCACCTCGAGGCAGAGATTCATCTGCGGGATGAAGTCGAAAATCCGAATGGGAAGCCAGCAATGTTCAGGAGATTCAGGACATCGGCGGCTCTGACGTGAGGTGAAAGGCCTTCGGTCTATTTGTGAACTTGCAACATCTGAAGCGAAGCCACGTGTTGCGTGGTTGTTCTCGTCGTCCCAATCCCCTCGCCATCCACTCAACTTCCGTCATTGGCCGTACTCCACTCCCCTCCGAGTTGATCGGATATGGACGCCGCCAGACGTCCGCCCGGCAAGTGGGCTGTCACTTTTAGCGGAGCGCGCTAGTAGCCAGAGAGAATGCCAAGCAAACATTCGAATTCGATTGTCCTGGACGCACGCGCGAAATTCGAATCGAGGGCTCGAGAACAGACTCGGCCGTCGGCCGCTCTGTGCAACATCGTAGAGCCGCTGCGACTGCTGCTCGGAAAAAGAAATGCTTTGGCGCGCCCCGCCTATCAGCTTCGAGCCTGCCTAGTGATAAGAGGCTGCTGCCGGCTCCCCGCAAGCACGCAGTATACCCTCTCAATAGGTTGATGCAGTTTCGTTGTCACCTGTTTCTTTGACAAGGGAATTTTTCCCGGTGTCTCGTCGTCGTTGTCGTCATCTCTGTCGCTGCCGTACCCGTATGAATAGCTGCTCGTCCGACGGACGAAGAAGTAGATTGCCAGGCTGGGAGAGCGAAAGGTTCTTACTTTCTCCGTGGAAGTACCAGCATTTCTCTGTTGGCAAAGGGATGTCAGTGTCTGAAATAGCGAGCTATTCAACAAGTAGATGTGAGCGCATTCGGTTCCCATCCCATTGGAGGGAGTCAAGTCCCCAGTCAGAGTTGAAAACACTCCTCATCGGTACATTCTCGACAGAAACACGATGATGACATTCGGTGAACATTCCTCCAACCGCCGAATATCAGGCAGAGGGATTTCCCAGGGAAGGGGATGGGAGACAACGCACCCAAAATTGAATGAGGGAAAGACGAGTCGGATTAGCAGCGGACCCTGAGGATGTCCCTCGCTGTGGAGCGATCTGCTCCTCCCGTGGAATCACTTTAAGACTGCGAATGCCAAAGCGTTTTACCCAACATCTCCCCAGCGGGACGTCTCGATCTAATAACGTATTTACTGCATGGCTATGACCAGAAGATACGATGGGATTTTTCTCGATCCGGTAGAATATCGGAGAATAAGGTCCTTAACGGCTATACGAACCAAGGACGCGGAATGATTGGATACGGAACGGGCACCCATACCGCCCGATGTCGCTCGCTGTACGCAGATGGGGAGCTCTTACTTTTTTTCCCCTGCCGCGTCTCGTTCAAACGCCATAAGGAAGCCATCGGTGAGCGGAACAGGAAGATTGACGAGTAAGGAAGGAGTCGTGTGGGACGAACGACACCAGGAGAATGATCGGAAAGGAGTAGAGAGGAGGACAGAGATGGTTATGCGCGTGGGTGGATCGATGAAGAGCTGGGTGAAGCCCCGGAGGAATGGGGCGTGATTTTTCTGGTTTCCTCGTCGAAACTGTGAATCCCAGGTCGAGCTCCTATTCCTAAGCTCGATTGTTATTGGAGCTTCCTTCTGAGGATGGCCGGGCCTTCTCCGGAGCTTCCGTACTTGTAGTTCTCCACGTTTTTCTGTTTCCGTGGGGAAGGCGTTCAGGCTCTCCACCGTGTAATGCGCTCCCGCTCCCGACTTTCGCCAAACAGAGATAGCTGGAGTTGAGTGGGGAGCCGATTCGTGCAAGCAACTCCAAACACGAGGGCGTTCCTTGATTCTCGGCTCTCCTCTCTAAGTGGTAGTTAGTCGTGGGATGGAGAGGAGGAGGAAGAATGATTCTCTTTACGTTGGTGAGATGGCAAGACAGTCGGCTGCCGCCGCGTGAACGATGTGAAGTGCCACGGGGTGAAGTTGGAGTACAACTTCGTAACTAACACGCCAGCCAGGCGGTGAGCCTCCCTGTCACTCGAAGAACGGGGCGTGTTAGGTCGGAGGATCGCTCCGCGGCGCCGTCGCCACGAGAGCTACGACGACGGCGATCATCACGGCGGATGACGACGGGAAGGAAACTTCGAGGGGAAGGGATCTGTCGAAAATCTTTTCGGATTCCATCAACCCTTCCATCGCTGGGATTATCATCACCCACGTGATCTCGATGACGGATCATTTCGGATTTCCGCGGTAGAATATGATCGACGGGACTTCGCCAATGCTCAGGAGCCGTCAGATTTCCTCGGACAATGTCGGAAGGTAGTTCATTCACGTTGGCTCGCACGAGATGAGCTGAGCGGAAGTTTCTTTATTGCAGGTGGGGGCGAACGATGAATTAGCTGAGATCTTCATGCGCCGAGACCGTGCGAACATTCCTTATGGTTTTCCGACGAATAGGAATATTGCCCCGAACTATAAGGTACCGTCGATTCCGATGCCGAACGAGAGCAACCAGTATCCGCAATACATTCCCAAAATGACGAGGTGAGTATTTTTCCCGGCGCATAAGGGCCAACAGAGGAATCGGAAAGGGAGATCGATTCTGATGCGGAATCGATTCAGAGCTTTTGGCCAGAGAAGCGTCGTGGAGCGCGAGGGAACGAGCTCCCGAGCAGACGCCTGGGCGTATGGGCGTCAGAACGCATGCAAGAGCTTCTCGAGAAAGATTAGTTCGTTGGGAATGATCAGAAGGGAAGAGTCATCATTCTGCCGACAGACGTATCACAGCGGAAACAGCGGTCTCATCAGCGAGCACCATCTGTCGTCGGAAGAATTATTTATCACATATATATTGAAAGGAGGATATCTTCGTGCCGTGCTATCTGCCGGTCGTGATCCGGTGACGGCTGCTCAAACTGCTTGCGTTCCGAGCTCAGAGACAGGGCAATATTGCTTCGTCTTCCCGGATGTGAGATTTTCGAGCGTGGGGGTATCAGTGGAGGAGGATGTTCATCAAGTGGAAGACGATATTCATTGAACTCATGATGACGCCAAGGACGTCGGGGGCGGTGCTCGTTCCGATCGAACGGCTATCTGGTTGTTCCTCAACGATATTAATAAGTTTTATTGTATATCCACTGTGGAGACTGCGCTCTCCTAGCTTCCTTCCGCGCTTGAATAGAGCGAGAATTATCCGAGTCGCCAGCTGAACTCATTTATTACCAAAGGCGGCGAGATAAACGGTAAGACCAACTGTTAGACCCTCGAACGGACGAATATCGCTGCCGAATATCAAGCAGCGACGCGGCCCAGTTCCCGCCCGCTTGCCCCCGGCGAAATGGAAAAATGGTTCCGACGCGAAGAGATGAGCCCCGTCTACCGGATTCCAATACTGTATTTCGGAATGAATCGAAGGATTGTTTCGAGTGCAGAAGATGGAGTCTATTCCTTCGCGTGATTGACCTCTCGGGGCCTGTTGGACCTATCTTGCGCAAGATTTCAATAATAGGCGATCGGAACCGACCCAGACAGTGGGACAGCAGGAGGAATAAGGGCTTATGCGAGTCATCGCGACGATGTTCCGCGAATGGTCGAGACAGCGAGGACTTGGAGATGGCGGAAACTTCACGTTGTCCGATGGAGAGAAGCAATTCGCTGGTCGATGCTCATTTGGGCCAAGCTCCTTTTAAATAATTGATATAATCGTTGCTTGCCTTTTGTTGCAAGCGAATTATTCAGTAAGCGTAGGGGACTTGCCCCGCGCTTTTTCCGAGGCGAACGAACCCTACCGAGAGTCAACCAGACTAGTGAGCGAGTCAGTCCACCAGCTAGAGAGCACACCAGTCCATTGGTCCGTCCGTTCGGAAACCTCCCGATCCAAGGATAGGCTTTGCAGCCTACAGGCGGGATAGCCAGTAGGTAGTGCGGACCGGAAAAAACGGCGAAACACGACTGGACTGCTTGATTCGTCTGCGGCAGAGGCTCTAATTAGTGCGATGCAATTTCTAGCTCGCTTCCGCACGAGTCTCCAGTGAGAGACATTCGAAAGAAGCTTCAAGTCTTGAGTAGGCTCCATGGCGCGCCTCTGATCGGCCCCGGTCAATTTTGTAATTGATCTCCATTCCATCGATTCCGGGTTTTCCGGGAACAGTCCTGCGAGCTGCTACAGCCCAAACGCCAGGAGCGGATCGCGGCGAAATGAGGACGTGCGAGCGAGCATATCGTGTTCGCTGTGATTTGAACGTGCGTTTGTTTTCACGCTGGCGCATGCGTGGATGGGCATTGTACGTGCCGCCGAACGATGCATGTATGTGTGGACAAAGTTGCGGGGCGTTCTTTTTTGATCCGGGAATGATTACCGCACGTCGACAAAGAGTCAGGACATCCACCACAAGGCCACTACACACGGTCTGGAAGAAAACCCGTCATCCGACTTAACATATTCAGATATGCTGTCAAGTCGGATGCGGCCGACTTGCGTAAGATGTTCCTAGGAATTTGCAACTTCGCGCCTGCCCTTAAACGACGATCTCGCCCGACTTGACGACGCCCGGGGCTGGTTTTTCCGCGGGACAGCGAGCCGAAGTTCGGCAAGTTCGAAAACGAACGTCTCCTCACGCGTCGGGGTTCCCGTATCATGGAGCGTCGGAGACTTCTCCGCACAAACCGTGATCAGAGCCTCCTGTACTCGGGCTCAGACCGCCAGAGCTCGGTGGGTGGTCGTCTCCGAAGTCGTCCGTCTCCGATCATTGTGGAGTCGACGGACAGAGCTCGGAGGAATCGAGGCAAGAGGCATACTAATGGAAAACGGTGAGACAACAGCTACATCGAAGCAAAGAAGTTTTTGGAGTTCGTTGTTGTGCAATTGTTGTTACCCTCTGCCTGGGAAGGAAGATGCCGTTTGTTTAATGGCCTGGAGGTAACGTGATGGGCTTTTGATGGGAGCGCCGCCATCGTGCCACCCGGAGGATGTAAATGCTCTCTTCCCATCTCAAACGGTACGAAAAAAAAATGCGAGTAAAAAACGAATGCCACGACAGCCCCCCTCCATCGATGGGAATCACAAAGAAGATCATCGCCGCCGAGGAGCATTCATACCGGGAGGAACTCCATATTTCATCTCAGCAACCACGAGCTTCGAATTGACTTGATTTGGGATGGTCCATGAAAAACCGGAAATCTCGATGTCAGTCTTCCCTTGCCACCGGCAAAGGCGCATCCAGGGCACGGCGCCAGGTTTGGCCGCGAAAATCGGGTGAATTAGCACTGCACGACACCGGAAAGAAGGCGCATCTCTTCGGAACCCACGCTTCGTCAGACGGTCGGGGGAGGGAATCGTGATCGCTCCGACCCCTTTCCCGTCTTCGCTTCCAGAGCTCGGTCTCTGGTACGCTGCCTGGACAACGCAATCATTCTGCCAACAAGACGAAGAAGTGATGGATCCGACTGAGAGGGATGCTGCACTGGCAACTGCGCGAGGAACATCGGACAAAACCCTAATGATGGGAAGTCAAATCCGTTTCCCATGATGATGACCAAGATGACGTAGGCGTCTCCCAGAACTAAATGGACGATATCTCTATCATTTGTCTGGGAATAAATGACAGGGTGAGGGCAAGGAGAGCCACCTACCACTCTTCCAGAGTCGAAACGCAGTTCGTCTCTGAACCATCTCGACCTCAAAACTTTTTTCCGTGCGTTTCCATTCCCTCTTCGCTTATCAACCTAGTTCCATCGATCGCCCACCGGAGAATGGGAATCGGGGACCTCCAAGCAAGATCGATGCCGCTGCGTAAAGGTTACTCGTGCGCGCGTCGCGGGGGAGGATGATAGAGCAGAAATCGGGCAAAAGATGTGACAAGTGGCAGAGCGAGTATACATTTTGTCTACCGAGCTACTTATCTCCGACCGTGGCAGCCTTGTTTGCTCATATGCCGTAATGCGCGTGTTTATATGTCTCTCCGTCAGTGAGAGTATCCGACTGACCGTTTGGCCACTCGTGTCTGGCTTCTGTTACCCGACTTCACCCCAAGTGTCCCGAGGGAAGCGACTTGTCCCGAGTGCCACGAGCGCTCCATTTTCATTTTACCTCCTAAGCAAGTCAGATGTGAAAGTGAACTTGCATTAAAGCGATCACATATGAGACGTGTCTGACGACTAAAGTGAATTTATTCCTGTCTGCTCCGTTCGTGTCCTGAATAAGTTCATAAGTTCGAGCGCCCTCTGGAACGTTTCGCAATCGACAGAGCAGCGAAGAGGCCAGAAATTGAAGACCGCGTCCACCCTGAGCCGAGCGGTGGTTGTCAGGAACTTGGAGGACAACAGCTACTAAGCTAGTCGGAGGTGCTCCAGCTCCGACGAAGTCGATTTTCGTCACGAGATGCAGTGCGACACCGCTTTCGTAACCATCGCAAGAACCCGGGCTACTTGAGTGCCCGGTTTATGATCGGCCGGATCATGGAGTTTCCTACTGTATCGCTTGTGGATTTCGAATTGCGAGCGAATCAGCTGTGAGGGCAAGGGAGCAATGATCCGTCCGTGTGGAAGACGATCGGGCCATTTACTCGGCCCGCGACTAGCAAACCCTCTATACCGGTATTGTTGTCGGTCCTGGGGACCACCTCGTTGTCAGAGCGACAGGGAACCGCGCGTCGGAGCTTGCTGACGGCTCGCCGCAAACCAGCAGGGCGAGCAGCTAAACCACAAAGCGAGAGTGGCTACTTCGCCCCGCTAGACGTGCCTACGTTCATACGTAGTGATGAAATGTTCTTCAATTCTTCAATCGGTCCATTTATTGGCTATTCGTTACGCATATGACATCGACCACCTGACGATATCACATCTCCAACGTATGATCAAGTATTTGCCCCGCATAGCTCGCTTGTCAGTCTTTCCCCAGGGAGTGGCGGCGTGGGTTGGCATCAGTCCTGACTCGGGAGTCATGGCAGCAAATCTGCACAAAGAAACGAAGATTCAGACGAATTCTCTATTCCAGTTCCTCCGCGGGCGCGAACGTCCGGGCAGCCCGTGATGATCGAATCTACAACGCAACTTCGCAAGCAGCCGCCATGGCCGCATCGGCAGCCGCCTCGGCGGCAGCTGCTGGACTACCGTCACAGCAGATCCACCAGATGCCGTCCGCAGTCCACCAATACCAATACAATCCCCTGCACGCTCCCGTGAGCGGCGTGCCCTCGCAAGCTGCGCGCAGAATGCTCGCTCCCCAAAGCATGTAAGTCCTGAGTCCGATATTCCAGTCAGATCCCCAGAAGGAGCGCGGCTCCCCACAGTCAGCAAGAGAAGGGAGTTTTCCGGGGATGGATCATGCTCCTGAGGAGCGTAGACACGATGTCTATGCCGAACACGATTATAGAGCGGGCTCACCAACTTCAAGCTCGGTATAGCCGCGATCGGCCTCTTAGTACTTAGATCCCGGATGCTAGCGAGTATCGGCTCCTCTGCCATGGCTTCGAAATAAAATATACCAATATGGAAAAATACCGGGATGCTAGGAAGTCTCCCGAATGTTCCTCTTATGGGCGGATTAGAAATGATCGGTCTCGAAGATTGTTGCAGCCGGAGCTCGGCTGATGAGTGTGCGGCAATGTCCTTCGGAAGATTTCGCAGCGATGATTGTTGCAAGAATTAGAGGAATAATAAGTATTCCCTCAGGAATTCGTTCGAAGTGTCGAGCGATGGTGCGCCCAGACTGCTGATTCGTATAATTTCGATGCCACAGTGGCCGGAGCCCGTCGTCGTTCTCGAGACCGCTTCGTTGTCGCCGCCACCGACCTCGCCCGGGAGCACCCTCGACAAGCTCTGTAATAAGCGGTCGATCTAAATTAGATCATTATAAAGCGTCCTCCCTATTTTTTGGAGACGAATTTTCGTCTCCCCGGTCGCTTTCGCGCGAAGCACTCCAGGAAAAAGTATGTGTGGACCCAGGAGCGTAGCGAAGAAATGTTTTTTTTCTTGCGCTGCATGAACCCAAGCGACCTTGACTGTCCGACTCGGCTCTCTGAGTCCTTTATTCTCTGTCGGAAGGCAAGTCAGAAGCTTCGTAAAACCGAATTAGACCGTGAGACGGCTTGTGAGGACCCGATTTTTTTTTCTCCCTTCTATACCTCTTCCAAGGAGGAGACCTGCCGCCCCGTCTCTCGTCTGCTCTCATTCCCCTCCGGAGGGCGGACCGCCCTTTGATCTGGAGGACAAGATGCTCCTCTAGCATGCAGCTCTAGCCTTCGGCACGGCTGGGTGTATCCTGTAGAACTCCTAGGAGTCTTAGACTCCGGAGGGGTGACGTTCGCTGGAACTGGAATCGGAATGTGGTAGAAACAGTGTTCGAGTCCCGTGATTCCTCTTCGGATTCAATCGTCAAAATCTTTGAGAGACGAAAATCGCGAGCAGAGATCTGGTTTTGCGGGGGAAGGTCGAACAGAAATAGATCGTTTCCGGGTCGCGGAAGTCGGAGGGAGAAGAATATGCGGTGTGTGCTCCGTACGACAGATCGGGCCTCGGGAAAATGGGCGCGCGCGGCCGTGACCCGCTAATTCGATTTGCTAAGGTCGGGATTTTTGTCTCTTCAGCCGACGCTAGAACGGGGTTGACTCATTATTTCCGAGAACGAGCAAAAGAAGGGTAATATAATACATGGAGGACGGCGGCATTGCCGTCGTCAACAATGTTTTTGCACCGAACTCCGAATGTCTCTGCGTCCTGCTAATGAAATCGCTCGGCTTCCGAAAAACCCATCGGATGAGCCTGTTTCGAGTGGCTGCATCAAACTGTTCTCGGCAGGCAGGGATTCTCGCGTTGTTGGGCAATCGACGCGAATCGGTCATGGATTTTCCATGTCGCTTCCGAAAATGGAAGTCTCTTTTTTCCGCCTCAGTTGAACAAGTGATTCTCGCGGAGCTTTTGCCACGTCGAAATAAAGAAGTGCTTCGTAACTCTAGTGTAGGCGTCGCGCGCGTCGGTGTCAGCGAACAATGCACCGCTTCTTGCCACCGCTTTTGTTGTTGTCGTTGTTGTTCGTCTGCGAGGACTAGCACGCACGCACGCACGCATGCACGAAGGCAAGCGGGCAGGTAGACCGGCGGACAGATGGGTTCACCGACGAGTAGGTAATTGCATGTGACATTGTGTCAGAGACTGCTCGGGCAAGGGGTGGGGCGTACTGGATTCAGGTGGGAGGGAGAGCGGGCGGAGAAGAATTTCCTCCGAGCAACAGCGATGAGAACAGCGGCAGCTCCCTGCCCTCATATGCTATACGGAGCGTCGGAACACCCACCAACGACAAGCGTCTCTGTTCGTGTATAAGTGCGGATGTCTGTTGTGTGAATAGGGGTAATTTGCCCCACTTTTCTATCTCTATCTCGCACCGGTTGGTGGGGAGGCGACGAAGACGAGGAGGCCAGTAGTCGGCTGTCGGTGAGCGCCGATATGCGCCGAAACCGGGTACGATGGAGAGGCGGACACCGAACGTGTGTTTGTAGTGACGGCAGACACGATGGCGGCGGCAGGCCTTGAGGGCCGCTAGACAGGAGCATCTTCTAATGTCAGTTTGGTATGCAGAAGACTCCGTCGACAGGTGATCGCGGGGAGAGGCCAAACGATTTGGGGTAGGAAGAGAGGGAGCGGAACACGCAGAAAAGAGACCGGGGACTGGCAGCTTGCCGCACCGGTACACGAGATTCTCCTCGGCGCCAGGGCTTGCTCGACAACCTGCTCTCGACTCTCCGGGAACAGTTTTGAAACGAGCCGAAGATTCGCTCGAATTTTATTCAGGACCTGATTCTCCGTCAGCGCTAGATCCGTCGTCGCAGTAGAATTCAAAGAGGGTTGCCACGACATCTACCAGGACGACGGTTTGCTTTCACGAATTGATCGAGAGAACACAGTTATATGAAGCTCCAACTACATACCGAACTGGGTTCCATTCTCCGGATCCGATGAATCCTGTCCCGCCAGCGCCTCTGCGGAGCGTAAATTGATCGTGCGCTCCTTCCTTCTCCTTGCGTGGAACGGGCTCTCACGCTCGACTGTCAGTCGAGAAGCCTGATCATATCATTAGTCGGTAATGCGACAAATAAATGACACGTGGAAGCGACGGGAAGACCAGCTGTAGCAGTTCGAGAGAAACTTTCGCAAATGATTTCCTCGTTTTGATTGAATCGGGCAGGTAGTCCCTCCGGTCATCCGTCATTCTCCCTTTGGCTGCTCTCCCGTTCCTCGTATTGATTAAGTAGGCATTGCCAGCCGACGCACTCGTTCCGCAGACGTCCCTTTTCTTCGACTTCCCGGATGCGCGATGCCCCACGGGATCCATTGGAGAGCGGCCAATTCATGTGTGCGTGAGAGCACGCCATTCGAACAAGCGTGGCGACGACAAAATCATCGTCAGGACGATCTCTGCGCGCTGAACTAACAAGAAGAAGTACCTTTCGATACGATCTCTTGGCTTGTCGGATGACATTCTCGCTTCATTGCGATGACAGCAATCAACGGCGGAAACAACATACACGCACACGATAACGGTGGTGTAATGCTCATCATAACAGTGTGTGGTGATGAGTTAGGAGCCGTACGGGAAAATTGGAGATCCACCGACAAAGATATAGATGAATAGATATCCCGCCGGTACGTGGGCGTCTGGAGGAGCGTATGGCAGGCGTTGAGGGGAAGCCAGCCATTTCTCGGCTTTCCATTGTCGTGTAGTTCGGAGTGAATAATTCGGATGTCGTTCGGCTGCGCGTTAAAGATTAGCGCGCCCCTCATCCGCGACGGTAGTCTTGACGACACCACGGCTTGCGGAAGCGGTAATTCACGACACGGCGCTGGCGGGTAGAAGGCCCGGCGTCGACGCAACGCTCCCAGCGAACGAAATCGGGCAGAGAATTTCGTCGAGAATTTCGCATCAGACTAGTTCGCAAATCCTTTTCCCTTCACTCTCTTGATTCGATCAACTGGTCCGCTGGTGGGTTGCCGGGCTCAATGACTCGCTTCACAGTGGATGGACGAATTCCGTGTCGCTCGAAGCTCAGATCTCGCTGAAATGATCAGTGTGAACCACTAACCGTGGGGCTATGAGTGCGCGCAGAGCAATTATTTACTCTCGTGCTCGTGGATTGCCGGCACTCGTGGAGCTGCGTCTCTTCAAGCGACGAAACGATTCTTCGTCGAGAGTTCGCCCGCTCGCTTGGTAGGTTAGTTTGGTGGGCGAACAGAGCCGGCGAACGGGGCGAAGAACGGCGAGACAGAGCGAAGACAAACGCAAGTCGTGTGTACCCTCCGTCTACCTATCGTCCCCGCTCTCCTTTTCTCTCCTCCTCTCTCTCTCTCTCTCTCTCTCCGAGTGGAGATCCCTCGGATCCAGTGGTGGGAGGACGGGGATGAGCATTGTCCACGGGATGGCTTTTCCGGGGAGCCTCGAGAAGCGTTGTTTCGGAGCTTTTTTGCGACAAACTCGTTCAGACCGTGCTCTCGGCTCGCTCAATTTCGAATGGGATTGTACCCCTGATGTTATTCCTGTCGTTTTTGTCGCTTAAATGCCTCCCCCGTCCGTCGTGACAACAAGTGTTCCTCTCGCTTCTGATTCTGAATAGCACCGCCCAAAGTCAGCACTTGCCATGGATGTCTGTCTTTGTGGCAGAGCGCAATCGAAGGAAGCAAATTGTTTCAAGCGATTCGAAACAATGCAAGTGGTTTGTTTCGGTGGAACGCGCGCGACGGCCCTCCTCTTGAAGGAGTCCCTCCACTCTGCGCTCGAGAAACTTCCTGCAATCCCTATCTGATGGTCTTGCGGGCTGCCGAGAACCTCGAGGGCTGGGATTCGGGCTATGTTGGTGACCAGGAATCAACTGGTGGCGATGCAAGCGAAGCATTTTCCTCGGATGAGCGAGAGCATGTGGGAATAATGGGACGAGGAGCGGACAGTCCCAGATGTCCATTGCGGAGTCGGTTGGAGACGCGAAGATGCAACGGAGCGGGAGGAGACTTGTTCGTCGGAAGATTTGGAACCTTTAACGACCCTAATCCGCATTCCGGCTGCGACCGCTAGCCCCCGCGGAGGAGTCCGCAGGACCTGCACAACACACGCGAGATTAGGAAGGACAGTTCTTTCGGACCGGAAAGGAAAATAGATTTCGTCATCCAATCCATCCTCCCTAGACTTTCTGCTTCCGAGGAGTTGGTGTGACCAGCATTCGTCTGTGAGAAGACATATCGGATTCCACTCACTGGTTTTCCTGATTTGTGAGAGACTGGAAACTCTGACAGGAGCTGGGAGGTCTCGAGGACTCGGAGGAAGCCACCGGATCCGAATGCGCTCAACAATTTTCTTCAGTCATAGAATCGATCGAGAAGCTTCTCCTCATCATTGGGAGAGCAGTCGTCCGGATGAGGCTTAATCTGGGTGTTAAGAAAGTAGATGCGGGAAGTCGTGGCGTCGGATATGAGTCGGGAGAACCCGAGGCATGCCATAACCTTGGACCCACCTTCGAGATCTCCGACCATATCGCGAATTCATTGATTCCATCGTCGGATAACATGGCTCTGGGGTCGGAACGGTTTTGACGGAATGAGAATTAATGGATCAATGCGGGAGTGGGTCTATTCTCATCAAAGGCTCAAGATTAACTTTCTGTTGCAGCGCGCCGAATTCCCACGATGGGTATCCGCTCTACCGGAGACAAGTCTGACGAGACCCGTGCCTCGCTGACGTCCTTATGGAATCCGAACGAATTCCTCCGACTTGTTATGTAAGTATATTAGGAGGAAGAGGCGATTATTGGCCTCTCTCGCTTGGCGGAGTTCCCTGCTTGCTCCGTTCATATCATTCTGGAGTGATCATTTTCCCATCCGCTGAGTTTGCGAGACACAATCGGTCAACGAGCACGACTCTCACCGTAGACGCGACTTTCACATTTAAAGCAGTTTCATGATTCGTTCAGGGGAGTTCGGCGAACTCGGGGTACCGCGCGAGAAGATCTCTCGTCATATCTCTCATTCGGGCTTTCACTGAGAAGGTCTCCGAACGCGGATTGTTCTCATTTCCGCACCGCACTCGGTTCCTACACGACGGGAGCCACTGAATCATTGCTCTGAGGAGTGCAGAGGATAATGATCTGGCCTTGTCCGAAGGAAAGAGGAAAATCAGGGGGGGGGCTAAAAACTGCGGACACTGTTGCCAGGATATCCAACACCTGTTCTCCAAACCTCATCAAAGACTCGGACATGGCCTCAGATCATCGAGTCCATCCTAGCTTCCTGCGTGAACATTCTGATCCTGTCGCCTTGTTTCCGAAAATCGCTGTCCCCCGAAGATAATGGGATAGTTCGCTGGATCCGCGATCAAGTCCGACTATTCGCCACCTGCCGGGATAAAGATCGTCCCCATCCCCTGGATCTCGACCAAAGAGATAAGAGGGGTTTACGAAAGATCGGATATATCTGAGTTGGACTTGCTCGTGGAGAATCGTGCTTGGAAGGAAGGCATTAGGAAGCTGAGTGCAAGGCCCTCCTTGACCGAGTTTTCGAAGTTTTCTGCTCTCGCGGCTTCGATGCGGAGAACTCGGTTCTTGGACGTCGATGACTCCGCTCAAACGTAGGGCACTTGTAATACTGGCCATAGTAATAGGCTCGTCCGGGCGGTACCTGATATGTTGAAGTAAATGGCGGAGATGAGGATACAAGCCCAGACCCGTTGACGCAATCGAGGCCTAAGATAAACTGTGAAGGCGCTCGATAGGAGAGCGAGAGCCGAATTCGGAGAGATAGGAAAGGATCCGGGGAGCAAGAAGAAAAGAGATAAAGTGACCAGAGGCTTCCTAGCGTTGAATCCATTTTCTCTCGATGCCCCGTTTTGTCGACGCCTGTTTCCCTGCCCGCTCGCGCCACTTGTGCTTGTACCGTCGGCCGACCGCTCGCTTGGTTCCCGGTTCCGAGGAGGCATGGGTCTCTCGACTCGCGCTGGTCCCGAATCCGCAGGGTGCTCGGAGTGCCGGGTAGGTGACGAGAGTGGATGGGGTTGCCGGGGTGGCTCAAGTGTTTTTATCGAAGCTCGCCTCAGGGCTCGCCGTCTTCTCCCTTCTCTGCATCGGGGGCATCTTTAACGTGTTCAAGACTGTCGGCGCTTTCAACGGTCTCGAGTCCGCTGCCTCCGTCTGACGACTCTGACACAAAAGAGGGCCGAAGCAAAAGAGCAAGCGGCAGGGAGCGAGACGAGTGGAACATATGAATCAGGGGAAAATGATACCGAGTCGCCTACGAAGTTTCTTCTCCGCGATCCGGTTTCCACGCAAGGATACCTATTCCCACGTATTCGTATCTGGTTTCTCGAGACAGCAGCTAGAGTATAACGTGCGAATGAATCAAAGCTCACCGCCTGTTCCGTTTGAGGCAACTTGTCAACTCGATCCGACTCGGAACCAAGGAATACGACTAAGAAGCTTTTTCCTCTATTTTCCAGGAGCTCTGAATCGGATCACTACAGACGGACTTTTCTTCTAAAATCGGCGCACACAATGGAGAATCCCGTTCCGGGTGCTAGCAGGGCGGTTTTCCGTTCTTAAGCCTTGCTTTTAATATATAATTCGGTCTTCGTGTCCAGAGTCGTATTACTCTGCTAGCGAGGATTCGACGATAACTCTCGAGTACATGATATCATCGGGGAGGGGGTAGGCAGAAGCTTCCGAAAGGAATCGGGAGCGAAGGATCTTTGTCGTCAGTTCCTGTGGATTTATTTTAACGTCGGATCAAAGTCTCCTGTGAGTGATTCGTTCTGTAGAAGGATATATCAGAATGTTCTTTCAACAGAAGATTGTGTTTGGCGCCGTCTTCACCGATGCGCGCAGTGAAGTCGTCTCGGTAGACTCCTCCATTGTCTGAGCAGTCGTGGAAATTCGAATGAGATTTCAAAGTGTCCAATAGCATGACTAGGATGCGACCTCCGTGGAGCTCACACAAAAGTATAATGTGGAGATTCCGGAGAAATACTCGTGGGGGAAACTCCGGTGCAGCAATAATGAATCATACGCTCGTCCTCCTTTTGTGGGAGCTCCCTCACGACGAAGCCGCGCAACGATTCTCGGATCAGTGGACCCGATCACCGCGTGTTTCCGACGTACTGGATGAGGATGAAGAAAGAGGAATGATGAGAGAGCAGACAATGGAGGGGTTCCCGATGCGCGTAGAGTCTTCCTTGTGACTGAGGCCCGAGCGATGTTCAAAAATAAATATTTCGACAATTTACACCGTGACGCCGTCAATGCGGCCGCCTTGAGCGCCAATCGGGTAGTTCTTCCAGGGCATTTGATCGATTGATTCAAGATCGAGCGTATGAGAGTTTGGGAATAGCACGAGGATTGGGTTGGAAATTGAGAGCATTCATGATGTGTCTTCGGCCGCGAAAGGAGCATAGACGAAAAACGGAAATGCATGGACTACAAAATCCCGATGGGCAGAGAATCAATTTCTTTCTTGCTCCAACTTAATAGTGTAAGACTCGCCTCAAGCCTCGGGACTGTTTCAGTTCGGGGGAATGATCTCGCGGAGGCAAAGGAGCTCGGAGGAAGACGAGCACGAAGGGGTTCCTGCCGCGGCAATGCAGGATAAGATGTAGACGATGATTGAGATAACTCCGAACAATCTCGAGAGCCTGGCATTGATTCGGGGATCGAACTTCCGTGTGGCGAAACAGAGGGAGGAGCTCAGCGATGGCCGCTTGCGGGGTGAATCACGAATTTCACTCGGGGGAACACCTTCCTCGCACTCTATCGCCGAGGAGGGCACCATTGATCGTCGGCTGACTGTCAATCCGACCGTCCATGATCCATATTGTTTGAGATTCATGCTCTTGTGAGTTGACCATTCGGAAGCGATTCTGTGCGAGAGTACAACCGAGTCCGGCGCGTATTCATAGCATGGCGAGCCGGAGTGACCTCTTGCGCAAAATCGGAGTAAAGCGAACGAAGTCTAAGCACCAAAGGACTTCCAGGCACTGGGACGGAGCCTACGGTGCCATAGCAACCTGAGGCACCCGTCTTGCAGAGCCGCTGCTCTAAACCGCCTCTCTCCGGGATCACGTACTCCGGCAGAACGACCCGGAGAGGATTCGGAGCAGCCGAAAGGGGACATTTGTTTCTCGCTCAGCTATTGCCGAATTCGATCGCTTCACAATCAGATCTCGTGTGCCCTTTCGTTCTCTCTGCCATTCTTCCGCCTACTGGAGCCTGGATTTTTCTGGGGACTAAAAATATATGAGACGGCCCCTGAAAAATTCGTTCCCCAGCTTCTAGTCGCATGTGCGACTGAAATAAATTCATCTGACCAAGCCACCCAACGAATCGATTCATCAACCTACCAAGCAGTTCCCGGGAATCAGAGGTCAGAACGAGGTCTCCCTCATAGTGTAGCGGTAGACTATCAGGCATCCACCTCGTACAATAGAACGCCGCTGCAGCACAAGGATCGTAAGCAAGGATGCAGCAAGTCATCATCGGTTTCAAGTGACTAATGAATCTGATTTCAAGTTCGACCAGACCTGACCCGAGACCGCAGATCAACAGGCGGGAATCCACCGCCGGATTCTGCGCTTTTCATGGAGGAAAAAATCACGGGTCCACTGCCAGCCAGGCGAAGACAAGATGCCCCGCTGGTCTCGTTTCGTGGCGTGATCTCCGTTGATCTCGATAAAGACGTCGGTTGGCTCAACGTTCGACCGAGTCGAAGCTGGCACGGGGAGAATCCGGTTGCCAATATTTTTTTGATTTATTGGAGATTGCCTATCTAACATACGTAGACATTGCGCAGTTCCGCCGTCACTGCCACCGCCAACGGGAGCGATTCGATTGGATGAGCCGATAGAGACTTGGTGTATAAACAATGGCGAGTATTGACACACTGCTCTTCCGCTCGAGATCGTCGTCTACTTCTCTCCCCGCTCCGGTTCGTTCAACCTCAGAAAATCGCTTCGAAGCGGTACGGGGAAAGAAGAGTGCTGGGTGATGGAGCAATAATTAAAGAACGACGCGAATTGATGCGCATTCCCGACACTCACTCAGCATATACATATACCGTGGGCTCTCTTGGGAATTGACAGCAACCTCACCGCCTTCCTCCCCTTCCGCTTAGAACAGGGGCTTTCGGAACAATGTGCTCCATTTCGAAGTGGCCATAAACTATATCGTAGAGCCGATATTGCAGATATTAGCGATTCCCTAGTGACCCTCGGCTCGAGTCGAAATCGCTGGAGAACTCGTTGCGATGAAACCACATCGGTGGAATGATCGAAAATCTTGAGTGGACTTCCGCAGCCCACCGCTACATACTCGCTTGTGGTCCATTATCTTTAAGATCCGTGATCCGTTGTTCGAACGAAAGGCTCTGTTGGGGCTTGCACTATTGCGAGTGCCGATGAACTCTGGCCGGGGAAGATAGCTTGCGCGCATTCTTTGTGTCACCGAGAAATTCGTGAAATCCAATACAACGAATGCGTTGAAAACACTGGAACCCCACCCCCGCGGGTTCCAATCGCCTGAGTAAGTCCCGTCCGGAATTCCATTGGAAAGGGACTATATTGTAACGACAGACGATCTTTGGAGAGCGCACGATTGAAAGTGGACAGAGTGGACAGCCGCTAGACCGACTCTAGAATTCTCATTCCGGGAGATGACCCTATACGTAATGGCCAGCCCCAGCGATCCAGGAGAAGAAAAAATCGAATGTGACAATACGCAGCCGACACTGGAAAATAACACCGCGATACCTAGAATTCCCAATCGCAGCGGTCAAGTCCTTATAACGTGCTCGACCCTCAACAGTCATCAATTATTATGGCTTCTGCCTAGCCGCCCGGACGGTTATAGCGAGGAACTTGATCGATCGGCCTCCGGGAAGTCAATCCTCAGTACGGTCCTCATCCCGGAAAAATTTCCACGCGATCCTGAGGCGGGATGGAATGAGACCGAAGGGAGAGAATAGCGACCGAAATCGATACATCACTGTTCTACGATTGTCTCGAAACGAGAGAATCAAACACGAGCCTGTAGGCAGGACATTGTACTTCTGGCAATTTCCCCACATCAGTAGCGACGAGCGTTTGCTCGCACGACGCGTTGCGCAGGCTTGCCAATCCAAATTCGAGATACGGAGCAGCTGCCAAGAAACGACATTTTCGGTGAGCGGGAGAAAAACTCCTCTCTTGACAAACTGCCGGAAAGACTACAACAAACACCAGCGTGCAGAGGATAGACAGCTCAGACACAGGCCACGACACCAGATACATCTGAGTCGGGGCTCTGACAAAAACGGCATCTTCATTGCGTCGATCGAAAACAAATGACGAAGCGAACGGCCTGCTGCCAACTTTTCCCTACAACCAAAATGTTTATCTGGAAATAACAGGCCCGCGCAAGCCGACTCACAGGCTTGCGGGCTCACGCCTCACCCGGACCGCCGGCATCGATTGCGGTCATTGTACGGTCGGAGTCGGTATGTGTGCATTGTGTTCCGACGCCGACGTCGAAAATGAGCACTAGAATAAAACCATTGAGCGTGCAAGGAAGTGCGCGGGAAAGAAAATATGTATTGAGAACCATAGGGCACCATAGTCGACGTCCCGACTGAGGGGTGAGCTCGGTGGACTTGGGAATTCCGAGAAACCGGCGAATTCCATAGGGATGAAAGATTGAGCGAGACAAAAAACCAGTGAGTGCGAACGAGTGCGGAATGTGCGGTGAGAGTCACCGCTATCGATCAGTATCGGTAAGGCGCTCTTCCTTGTCCACCTCTATGAAAATTGCCGCGGAGCTATAGTGATGTTGTCCGCAGAGGTCTTTCACCATGTCAGAGCTTGCTCTCTCCGTGTTTAAGATATCGTAAAGTTCTTTCTAAAGCCGTGGAAGCGGTCCCTCGTCGCTGCCTTCCAGACGCTGACATCTCGTGCGAACTCTGGGCTGAGGAATCTCGGAGGACCACTTCATTCAGGAGACTGAGCACCGTACCACCAGAAGCGACCGTATAACCCCGAGCAGAGGGTTAGAAGTTCACGTTGTCCCATGCGCGCATTCCTCGAGTCAGCTCGCGTTTCTGAGGCCTTCGCTAATGGGACTCGATCAGTTCTTGTTTCCGAAGTCGCGACGATCCTTGTTTCTCCGGTTATTCCCATTTTCCGAGCTACGGAGTTGCGCGGGCGACGCTGATTCTGACTCTAATGAGGCTGCTCGGAAGGACCGAGGCTTCAGGATTGACTTGCGAAACGCTCAATTACGCGCTGGACCGATGACGTCCTCTCCTCTCATGTTGATTGCGTTTCGTCGCAGAATTCTTCGGTTTCTTCGCGTGTCAGGAATAAGTGACCACCATAGATCAATAAATTGTACGGACCTACCAATTCCGTTCCTCCGGTATGGATCTCCGTTATTCTCGAAGAAACGGCGAATCTCTATCGTAGGTAGAGGAACCGTCGCTTTTTATGTATGTTTCTAATACCTT